TGGGCTCTGCATCAGCTTAGCAGAGTTGGATGTTTGGCTTGTCGGCTGATGTCGAATTGCCGAGGGGCTCCTGCACGAAACTGTTTCAAACCCGAAACCCAAACCCGTAACCCCTAAGCCTGAAAACTTAAACTCGAAGCGCTACGCCCCAGCCCGTAAAACCCGAAACCCAGATCCTGGTCCAGCCGGGCATGCGACAGCCCATGGCATGGGAGCTGAGGCCCGAATAGGTCCTTTCGCGGAGGTTCTGAAAGAGTTTTCAAGCGGTTCGAAATTTAGGATTGCTATAGGGAGCAGGGTTTGGGTGTAGGGTTTAGTCAGCAGGGGTTCTATGACATGTACGGATTTGCAGGGTCGGTTCTTTACGGGTGTACAGAGTTTTACAAAGGTCTTCTAACAGCTGAATGCCCAAGACCCCGGACCCTAAACTGAAAACTCTAAACCCTAAAAACCGCAAAATCAAGCAATCTGAAACCTTCCCAAGGGTTAAGGGTTTAGTTTCGGCTTGCTTTTGGTTTCCCTTGCTTCAAAGCTGGCCCTAAATGCTAACATAGAAGCCTCACCACTTACCAATCGCATTCCTCAGGGTTCCGTACGACAGCTGTACTATAGTATACGCCAAGACGCCACTGCAATCAGTAAGGCGACTAAACATAACCCCTAAACCCTAAACCCCCGACTTTGGGCTATGGTCTCCTCAGGAATGTTTTTTGTTACTTTTGTTCATATAAAACCCAAGAGAATATTCAAGCTATGAATTTTATTATGGTTCTAAGGGGGGCATAGTGGGAGTCAGAAGAGCACCCGACTCACAGGTCAGGGAAAGACGACCTGGGCACTCTCGAGGCTAGCGGGGTGTGTGTTGAAATTGTGAGTTAGGATTTTTTTTTGTGTAGGTGTGTGTGTGTTTAATGGGTTTTAGGTTTCTACGATTTTTCTCTTGTTGTTTCAGGGTGATGTTACGTCTGGCTAACTATTGCGTTTCGGATTCTTGCAGTTGTTGGGGTGTTTAAGGTTTTAGGGTTAGGGTGTTTTGGGCTCAGGGCTTGGGGCTTAGTTGAAGTTGGCGCGGTAGTTGGGCCGACGATCATGAGGAGGAGCTGGTGCTGCCGATACTCATGGCAGTAGAAGGTGTTTGCAGGAACGGGCTGAAGGCGGCGAGGTGGTGTGACTAATTAGTAGTAAATCGGAGACCCTAAGCACTAAGCACCCCAAACCCCAAACCTTAAATTCTAAATAATGCAGACTTTTGAGGTAAGAGCGATCCGATGCACAGATGGTATACTGATCGGTAGGAAGCAGTGAGCCGTCAGTATAAGGGCCGAGACAAATACCACTACCATCGGTTCCTTGTATTGGCTATGGAAGAATATACCCAAAACCCTGTTCCACGTAGAAAGGCACCCTTTTTATGCCGATAATAACCGAGCGGAGAGAGGTAGTCACTTCCATAAGGACGAAATGAACCCTAAAAGGGTTTAAGGTTCATATACCATATAGGGATTCATGGTATGTGGGTATAGGGCCCTACTTTTAGGGTCATTTGGTCCTTCAGGTTATCATCAATGGGAGATTGGCTGGAGCACAGAGTTCGTGGTGCCGTTGCAAAATTTGTGGGAGCGGTGTTGGGAGGAAAGCGGACAAACGATTGCTGAAAGCCTTGAATGGCATCGCTCAGATGCCACATGTGTGGACTCTGGAGAGTCGTATATGGCGAGACACAGTCACGTGGACGCTGCGACCTGTGGAAGACGTGCAAGGCTGATGCTGGCTAAGGATTTCTGGGGCTTGTCGAGTTAGGTGGAAGCCGTTCCGGACAGCGCGTTGGTACCCGAAACCCTAAACCCCCGAAGCACTAAACCCCTAAACCCTGAACCCTAAACCGCGCTCGGTTTGTGCCTGTGTCATGAGCCGCAGCAATTGCCAGCACTGCAACATCCCCTAAACCCTATGGATCCCTTATAGATCCCCTTAAAACTTAGGTGTTCTGGCTAGGACCCAGAGTAGACCGTTATTACCTTTTCTAGGGTTGAGGTTCCCTTATAACCCCCTATACACCAAAAAGGGCACCCTTTTGATATCTAGGCTCCTCTTAGGTCTAGAAGAAGACTGCACAGGGGTCGTTGGAAGCCCCTTTCAAGGGGTCCTCTGATCGTTAACTGCCCGAAGGTAAGATCTTCGAACACTATGATTCTTTTAGGGTTTAGGTTGCAGGGGTGATCTGCCGTCATCATGAAGGCCTCATTGAGTTGGATGAGGTATTGGCAGTGAGTTGGTGTCTTAGGTTAACTGAGCAACACTGTTATGAAACGAGGGCTTTGCATGCCAAGACGTAGCACTAGGGTTCGGGGTACTGCAGCGGACAACCCTAAACCGTAAACCCTAAACCCTAAACACTAAGCCCTAAACCCTAAACCCTTTTGCTGCAGGGGGCGGAGACGGAACGGTGGCTTCAAGAGGTTCAGCGCAGCGTGCAGCAGGCTGGCTTTGCGTGGAGGATTTGGGGCTGAGGGAAGTTCAATGGCCCAAATAATTAGCGATATTACGGCTGATGAGATAAATCCTGCATTACCCATAATAAGAAATTTACCATAATTCGCATAGTTTAGGGTCCTTAAGGTCATGCAGGATTTATGTCATCGACCGTAGCCTTAGTGTTCCTGACTATAAGTAGGGCCTAAATGGGTGGTTGTCAACATTAGGGTCCCTTTTTGGGTCCTTATGATTATACGGCACTTAAGATTTAGGGTAGCCAAAAAGGGGCCATAATTTTGACAGCTACCAAACTAAATACCGATATTACGGCTGATGATCTAAGTCCTGCATTACCTATCAAGAGGAATATACCATAATTCCCATAGTTTGGGGTCCTTAAGGTCATGCAGGATTTATATCATCAACCGTAGTCTTAGGGTTCCTGACTATAAGTATACCTTACAGGAGCCCAAACCCCTATTCTAATTATTCAGGCCGCTACATTAGCTTCAGGGTGTCAGGATTTTTCTGCTCTTAGAAGATCAAATCAAAGGACTTGTCTGCAGAGGGTCTGCACCTTCGCGCTTTGGGTTTAGGTTTTAGGGAGTAGGTAGGGAGTAGAGAGTAGGGTTCGGGGTTCAGGGTTTCATTTCAGGTTTCTGGGTGTCCCGTATCTGTTGCGGAGAGAAGGCATCAGGATAGCTGAATTCCTCAAAAGCGCCGCAACGGAGACAGATACCCCTAACTCTAAGCAGTAACAAAACCTGAAGTCAATGAAGAGAGATTCGGGATTTCGGATTTCACTCTTTCGCCTAGCTCGCATGTTACGCTTGCTTGTCTTGTGTCATTTCAGCTTACTATGCCCGAAACAGTCTTGTGGTTGTTCTAGCTTGTTACCTTTCATCTTGGCTACATATTGCCTAGGCAAGAGCCTCGTAAACCTAAGGCCCTCTCGCGCACTTCGCCTCTAGCCTAGCAGCCCTGTTTCGCGATTCCAAGCATCCCCATAGCCATTAATCCCAAGCCCTGTAGCCCCAGGCCCCGCAAGCACGGTTGATGACATAAATCCTGCAGTACCCATAGTAAGGAATATACCATAATTCCCATAGTTTAGGGTCCTTAAGGTCGTGCAGGATTTATATAATCAACAGTATGACCCCAAGCCCTACGACCCTAAATCTTTAACCCCCGAGCCCATGACCCCCACCCTCTACAGTAGAAGCCCAAAAGTTGGAAACCCAATAGCCTCAATCCTTAAGATTAATGAATGGGGAATCCCGGCACTATTTGGCCTTAATCCGGTTTCCAACTTTTGGGGTTCCACTGTAGTCTGAAACCTCAAAAAGAGCCCAAAGCCTACAGCTTTATGCAGGGTCTAAGCCCTACAGCCTGAAATTGAGGCCTAATGCTCGGTTTACTTAAAGGATCATGGGACTTAGTAACTGGGGCTATAAACAAGGTAACTATACTTATAAGCACTTATAAGCCCACTTAAGGTACTTATAACCTGACTTACTAAGTCCCATGATCCTCCAAGTAGGGTTTAGGGCTTTCAGGGTTAAGGAGTTCAGAGTTTTGGGGTTTGCAGGGTTCAAGTGCCCCAAGGCTCCATGCGCGGAACGCCTAAAAAGCGTGAAAAAAAAGCTCATGCTTCCACCACCCAGAGCCCTCAATACCCCTTATCCGAGTAGGGTGTGGGCTTTAAGTTGGCTGGGCGTGTGCTTGCTATTGAAGATGAGCTCCTTCGTGAAACGGTTGTGGGCTCTGCGTGCAATTTCAATTTTCCGGCCTGCAGATTGCAGACTAATATAGGGGCCTAAATAATTACCTATACTATCTTTGGGGTTCCTCATTATAATAACAGTATAATGGGCCCAAAAACCCTATTCTAATTATTAAGGCCCCTATAGTACTGCTGTCGGCCAAGCCCAAAACTTAGACCCAAATCTCCAAACCCCAAACCGTAAACCCTAAACCCGAAACCTCCAAAGCCAGTGCAGGCTTTGGGCAGCCGTCTCAAGTCCGAGCGGCTCCGTATGCGGCTTTCCTCGGCAGGCCCGGTTTAAGGGTTTAGGGCTTACGGTTCAGGGTTTAGGGCTTGGGGTTTAGGCGTCAGGAATAGAAGACCGGGGTTGGAGTCATCTTGACTTGGGGTTTATGTCCTCTGTACAAGTCATGCATTCAGTCTATGTGTCTCTATATAGTCAATTTCCGGCGATACAGATGTTCGTTATTTTAGTCTATGCATATCTGCATGGACGGACAAGGCAAGCCGGTATTAGAGTACGCAAGTTGTATGTAAGAAGTCCTGAATGTACGTACGCCTATATGTAGGTACCTTGCGAACCCGGAACTGACCCCCCAGGCACGACCCGCCGAAGCCCTAAACCCTTTAGACTAAAATCCCATACCTGACCCAGTGTGGCATGGTCTCCTAGACCCTAAACCCTAAACCCTAAATGGCCCAAAACCGTTGCCCGTTCCGAGCCTTTTGGCTGATCACCACACGGATCACCGAAACGTCCATGCAGCCGACCATGGTCCTGGCCTTTCAATGCCAGGTCTTGAGCATGATGCTCCTAGTGACAGCAGTTTCTCGGTTTTGGGGTTTCGGGTTTAGGGGTCGATCTTGAAAACGATTTGGGAGTTTCCGAAAATTAGGGGTACCTTTTTTGGGGGTCCTTATAATAAGGATCCTACTATTTGGGGTACTATATTGGGGTCCCCTATTTTCGGAAACTCCCAGTTTTGTTTCTGGCTCCAGAAACTGTAGCACGAGAAGCCAGACTTTTAACAGGGCCTCCATGCACAGCCAAGGTTGATGTACATGCCGCAGACAGCTGTGCCGGCGGGGTGTCCCTGCTGCAGAACAGCCTACGCGTCCAGTCTCGCGCACATGGCCTTCAGAGAGCATCCAAGCCGTGGGAGACGTACTTTTATTTTGTAGGGACTCACCACAAAGCGGGGAGCCAGCTGACACGAAACACCATGAAGTGGGCACTCGATTTTCTGGGAGCCAACTATTCCTGTCAGGAGCATAATTTTCAGCACGCCACTATAACATCAGTGGGAGGCGAGAACAAATGTCGCGTCTCGACGGATTGTCGCATTCACTGGGACAACGTCGTCACCCAACCCAGAGTTCTGTCGAATCGCGAGCTGGCCGGTGCAGGAGGTATGAAGTTCGCCCATGCTGTGCGCGACCCGAAGATGATGCTTGCCTCCTCCTACTGCTACTAGGTAGGGCTTTGGGACATTTTCTATTTTCCCTTATTGGGCTTAAGAGGATCTTATTTACTAATATTTTTCAAAGGCTTTAAAAGCCCCACCTAGGCTATCATCATCGTGGAGAGGAGTATGGCAATCCTATTGCTCCCTGGCCCCAGATCATGTTCATGGGGCCGCGCGAGGGGATGCATGCACTCTTCGATGGAATGATGGAGATCATCAACCACATGGTGAACATTTATACTAATTCGGAAGCCGACACGTACCACTCCCGCTATGAGGACATGACGGAGTCCTCAGAAAGCTTCGACACCCACGTAAAGGCACTCTTTGCACCTTGACGAAGATCAGAAGTTGATTTCGTGGATTGCAACCACAGGCTTGAGATGTTAGGCAAGTTTGATAGAGCCCAACCTTTGCACGCTAACTCCACACAGTCGCCACAGGAAGCACGCCTATCCCTGCTTGCAGTGGTTTGCTCTCAAGCCCGAAGCCCGAAACTTCAAAAAGGAAGCCCTATCCTTACACGCCGAATAGTATTCGGAACCCTCAAGCCCTAAACGGCTATCCGCCCTGAGCCATGAGGACTTCATGTTTGAAGACCTCATATCTCCGGAAGAGCATGAAGAGATCCGCAATCGGGCGAAGAAGCTGGGTTCTTGTTGAGGAATTTGCTTTATGTTGCCATAACACTAGCAGGACTCTGTAGTAAATAATATGGTTTCCTTATTATGGTAACGTAGCTTGAAATAAAATCCTTAGCAAGAACCCAGGAAGGAAGACCTCAATCGGGGTGAGAATGGCCTCTCCGCCGGCAAGAACCACACCAACAGCGAGGACCTCCCCAAGAGAGTTTCAGAGCTCAGGGATCAGGGATCAGGGTTTAGGGTTTAGGGCTTAGGGATTAGGGGTTAGGGTTGAGTGTCCTGTGCTTAGGACAGCCTACCCGATCGAAGAGTCCTTAGAATCTTTGCATGAGGGCATTCCATAGAAAGACGGTAGAAAAGTAGATCGAGTATGTTCAGGGAGGTTAAGGTCCATTGGCGCCGACCTATTCAGTTCAAACCCGGCACCCCCAGTTCCCGTTTGCCCACACCCTAAACCCTGACCTGAAACCCCTTGCATCTACCACCCGAATCAACACCCTGAAGAAGCAGCGTAACAAACTGGAGCTATCATGGTTATAGCATGTTTCGAACATAATTTGTGGTCTCATTTTTGATGCTTCTTCTTGCTCTGGCTGGTGCTGCTGGTGCTGGTGGCGGTATTGCTTGAGGGGTGGAGCTGGTGGTGGTGATGGTGGTGCCCAAAGACTCCAATATCCCTTATTAAGGAATATTCCTTAAAATAATGGTAGGATCCCTTATATGATTTAAGGTATACTACTTAATTAAGGGATATTGGAGTCTCTGGTGGTGGTGGTGGTGCTTCTGTCGCTGCCGTCGCAGTTGCAGCTGCCGCTGCGATGCTGTTGGCTCCACTTCAACATTAAACAATCCCAAACTCCTAAACCTTAAACGCTAAACCCCTAAACCCCTAAAACCCTAAACCCCTAAACCCTAAACCCTAAAACCTTCTTCTCCATGTTCTTGCCATGTGCCTTGTTGTCGTGGCTTCGCGCACTTTCTTGATGCGAGGACTGTGAGGCTAAAGCGCTTGCGGTGCTGGAGCATAGCCCGGACATGTACGATCCCATCCAGGAGCTGCTGCTAATTAAGTATGCCACTTGGAGGTTAATGGGTAGTTATAAGTAGGGTTATAAGTCCCCTTATATGGGTTATAAGTATAGTTACCCTATTTATAACCCTACTTATAACTAGCCATGAACCTCCAAGCAGACCCAGAACTGGATCCCCGAAAGAAGGCTTCATTCTGAAAATTTGAAAAACCCTCCCAAAACGGAGACCCCACTTATTGTCTGCTGTATCTGGGCTTGTTTTTGGGCCTTAGCTCCAGTGTTTCAGCCAGAACGCTGACCCTTGAGCCCTGCATAGCCAGATATTCCTGATTATCAGTAATACTACTACCGTTCTGCTCCGTATTTATGATTATGATTTTTACTACTACATAAACAAACAAACCGATCTATATGTATGTATGTATGTATGTATGTATGTGTGTATCTTTCTTGCCACATTCAAAAGAGGCTTTGGACTTTACTTTCTTTTTTTGCTCAGATCTCCCCTAAACATTAAAACCTAACACCCGGAACCCTAAGTCCCAGGCCCTACGAGGCTTCCCCTGAGCCTGAAGCCTGGACCCTGAACCCTCAACCCTAAACCCCTAAACCCCTAAACCCTAAACCCTAAACCCTAACCCCCTGAACCCCTAAACCCTGAACCCTATACCGCTGAAGCCGACGATCCCCAAAACCCAAAGCGCTGAACCCCACTACCCGCAACCCCAAACCCCGCCAATCCTGCAGCCCGAAGACAGGCCTTGAACACAAAACCCCAAAATCTGTTAGGGCTTAGGGTTTAGAGTTTAGGGGTTAGCGTTCAGGTTTGGAGTTTAGGGTTTAGGTTTAGGGTTTAAAGTTTAGGGTTTAGGTTTAGGGTTTAGGTTTAGAGTTCAGGGTTTAGGTTTAGGGTTTAGGGTTTAGAGTTTAGGGTTTAGGGTTATAAAATCATCCTTCAACTCGAAACGGCAAGGACACCAAGAGCTCGAATGCTAAAGCCCAAACCGCCAAAGTCCCTCAAGCCCTAAATCCTAAACCCTTAACCCTAACACCTAAATCGCCGGAGAACTAGCTCCTAAGTCCTCCTAAATCCTAAAATCCCCGCACCCGAAACCCAAAACCCCTTTGTAAAAAAGACCCAACGCCGCGAATCCCTGAGCCGATCCAGGAGCTTCGGACGAAAATGGGCTACGTGTGAGGGGAGCTGCCAGCGTTCGGCTACCGAAGTTTAGGCTTTGGGGTTTTACTACGATGCCGGTTGTACCCTTATTCCCTTTTTGTAGTCCTAGGTCCCTTATAAAGTTACCGAATACCAAAACGGGAGCCCTTTTCATTCCTAGGTCACTGGGCATCCTAGTTTAGGGCTTCAGAGTTTCAGGATCTTCGAGGTTTTGGAGTTTCAGCGCGCCTCTGCGGGTTTTCGGTGTTTAGGTCTACAGCAAATCCCATAAAGTTGGAAATCGGATTAAGGCCAAATAGTGCTGGGATTCCCTATAGATTACTCTTAGGGATCGAGGCCATTGGGTTTCCAACTTTTGGGCTTCTACTGTAGGGGGCTTAGAGCCCTGAGCCCGTGGCCCTAGACCCCCTTCTTGGGATTCATATCATTGTGGAGCTCGAGCGCTGGAAGTAGATTCAGCGTGATGCTCCTTGTATTTCAGAAGCAGAGCCGCAGGGCGATGAAAAAGGCAAGTGCAAAGCGGAGTGGAGGTTTAGGGTTTAGGGGAGCCCTAACCCTAAACCTTGACATGGGGTTCTAGTAACAGCATGCCCGCGTGGTCCCGAAAGAGTGCCACGTCAGAGTAAAGCCCTAAAAACCCAAATCCCTACCGATTTAGCGTAGGCTCGTTCCAGCAGCACCTTTCAAGGAACCCTTTAAAGCCCCTGAAAGCAACCTAGACCCCATAAATACACCTTAAATAAGGAGCCCTTGAAGACCCCCTTATCGGATCCAAGTGTGTCTTTGGTCAGTCAAATTCTGTATCTGCAAGCGTCATAAACCAAAAGAGCTGGCCTGTCGAACCGCGAAGTTTGAGTTGATTTGTCTGCAGACCCGAGGTTAATAGCCTCCCCTTCCCTTCATAAATCTTAATGGGGATAAAAAATCGGCATCCTAATGTTCAGGCCCTTGAGGAGAGGGGAGTTTATTACTCAGGGGTTTAAACTATATACTCCGTTGCAGTTTGTATTTAATTGTGTTAGACTGTTAAAGTCCTCCCCTCGATTTCCCACACCTCCCCTCAAACACAACTTTTCCACCATGCCAAACATTGTAAATCCTGCCCCACATCTTAAAACTCGAAGCCCGAAATCCTAGCAAACCCTCAACCTAACACCCTAACCCCCTAATACCTAAACCGCTAAACCCGAAACCCCCAAAGCCTCAACCCTAAACCCTCAACCCCTAACTAACGCCTACACCCGAAACCCTCAACCTGACACCCAAACCCCCCTAAACCCTAAACCCTAAACCCCCCTAAACCCTAAACCCTCAACTCAAAACCCTAACCCCCTAAATCCTAAACCCAACACCCTAACCCCCTAAACCCTAAACCTTTCGCCCCCCTAAACCCTAAACCCTAAACCCTCAACTCAAACCCTAACCCCCTAAACCCTAAACCCAACCCCCTAAACCCCCTCAACCCCCCAGACCCCTAAACCCCACCCCAGAGGCTGTGCAAACCTCGACCTCATGCACCTCCCCGAGACTCCTGGCGTCGGCTAAGCTTCTCTGGTTCAGAGATTTAGGATGGATTTAGGGTTTAGGGCCGTTTAGGGTTCAGGGTTTAGGGCCGTTTAGGGTTCAGGGTTTAGGGTTTAGGGCCGTGTAGGGTTCAGGGTTTAGGGCCGTTTAGGGTTCAGGGTTTAGGGCCGTTTAGGGTTCAGGATTCAGGGTTCACGGTTTAGGGTTTGGGGTGCCGGGCTTTTGGATGTTTCGGGTTTAGGGTTGGGGTTCAGCAGCTCCAGGTCGAAGCATCTCCAGTCGAGTCCATCCTTTTGAATCTAGACAAGTACCCGCCCACCCAGACTTCCCAGAATATGGGGCCGAAATAACTACCAATACAACCGCGGGGGGGGGGGGGGGGGGTGTTCCTTATTATAATTGTAGTATGATATGCCCCCCAAACCCTGTTCTAATTATTAAGGCCCCTACATTAACATTAGGAACTTCCAAGTTTCCTGTTGTCTCCCGCAAATGATTTCCATTGTTCTTCTGGGTCAACAGAGTTGACAATCATTCAGAGACCGTTTCACTATATACTCCTCGCCACATTCGATCAGTATCGAATACAAGTGAATCTAAACATAGATCGGCTCAAATATGGCCCTTGCTCAGCACAACTCTACGGCGCGCTCAGCTCGGCTCAAAAATCACATGTAGTTCTAACACAAATCATCGCATATTGGAAGATGGCTAGTGCAAGCAAGGTGCAAGCACTCGCTCGACCCTCTTTCTTTTGTCGAAACATTTGCTAAACTTCAGGAGCCGATCTGTTACAGGATCGGTTGCAGGATTTCAGGAGCCGAACTGTTCCGGCATCGACTGCGTGACTGTAGGAGCCGATGTGTTACAGCCAGCCCGAAGCCCTAAATCCTACAGTAGAAGCCAAAAAGTTGGAACATGAGTTCAGGAGGATTAGTGCTAGGATCCCTTATCCTTTACCTTTTAGGACATGAGGATACTAATGTTCCAACTTTCTGGCTTCTACCATAAACCCCAAAAGTAAGTCCAGAGTCCCAAACCGTAAATCCTAAGCCGTAGGCCGTAAACACGAAAATCCGGCCCAGGGCCCTAAACTCCCTGAGACCTGCCCAGAGACCTTACCCTTCGCCCTATAGTGAACCCCAGAAAGTTGGAACATAGACTTAGGATGATTAGTGCTAGGATTCCCTCTACTTTACCTTAAGGGAATGAGGAGAATGATGTTCCAACTTTCTGGCTTCTACTGTAAGGGCCCTACACCCTCAACGCGAAGGCCAGCCCACGACCCTACACCTAGCACTCCTCAGGGCCAGCCAAGAACCTTAAACCCTAAGCCCCTGGGCTTCTAACTGTTCTGCAGGCGGAAAAGGGTTTTAAAAATCCAAAACTTTAAAGGCCTAGCAGGCTCTCCTCGCAATCTTGCGGCATTTCCGCCTCGATTCGTTTTGGTATCGTGCTTGCCACTGCGGAACATGTTGAGAGGAAGTGAGGAACTGCCATTGCCAGTGGGTTATAGACTGCAGGATCGGTGTTGGGAGTCGGATGCCCGAAAACACTACCGGTCCGAATGCCACAACCATAAACTTAAGCTCCACGTCAGTGAAGCTGGCAAAACAAGCCTTCAACCCCTACCCTAAACTCTGAACCCAACTCGGCGCGCGCCCCTAAACCCTAAACCTTGAAGCGGTCTACGTTGGAGGATTGGACCATTGCTGCCCAGATATGGAATCCTTGCGTTTTTTTGGCTGGCCCCTGGAACCCTACATGGGGGCTTTTGGGAGCTCATGCTTGCGTACCAGTCTGGGCTCCGAATAAGACTCTGACCCCTACAGATATCGCGGAATGTGAGAGCTCTTGCCAAGGTTATTGGGAGGCAAAGGTCTGCATCGATCCACTGCGACTCCTGAAGCAGAGCCAGAATCACAATGACCTGACCTTGACTTGAAACAAATCTGCTTACGAGAAGCAGTCCTGCTCGAGTTCATCTGCTACTTCCGGTACGATTTTGGCCATGCTTGAGGCCTTGCCTGTCTGGTTCTCAGTAGGGAATGGGGGAATGGATCACGGAGACTATTATTGGGGATTACATAGGGGCTACTATAAGGATCCATTCCCCCAGCCTCTACTAAGAACCAGACAGTTGCAGAGACCCCTACACCCTAAACCCTTAAACCCTTAAACCCTAAACACCCTAAACACCCTAAACACCCCAACCCCTAAACCCTAAACCCTAAACACCCTAAACACCCCAAACACCCTAAACACCCTAAACACCCCAACCCCTAAACCCTAAACCCTAGACCCCTAAAGCCCTAAACCCTAAACCCAAGAAAGCCGAAGAGCCCTAAACCCAAAAAGTCCTATAGTCCCTATATATTCCCTATAACCCCAGACATTCCCCCATTCCCTGCTAAGAGCCAGACAGTTGCAGAGACCAGAGGGAGCTCCTCCTGTTCAGGGCGGCCTCCAGAGAACCCAATGCCCCTTAATGAAGGAATACCTAGGGTTCCTTTAAGGGATCTACAAGGGATCTATAGGGCTTAGGGTTTAGGGGACTCCGATATCCTTAGAGAGCCCAATCCCCCCCCCTAATTAAGGAGTTATGGTTTAGGGGTTAGGGGTTTAGGGTCCAGGGTTTAGGGGTTTAGGGTTTAAGGGAATCTCAGAGATCCCAATATCCCACCTTATTAAGCTACATACCTCAACTTATAGAGGCTCTTAATAGTATGATTTACGGTCTATTCCTTAATCAAGGGGTGTTGGGATCTCTGGGTAAGCCCTACACCCTAAACCTTTTGCCTTATGCCGCAACGCACGAATTTCCCACTTGGACCTTGCAGCTAAGGCGGATTGAGTAAGCGAGGCCTCCCATGGATTCCCAGAAATGTTCCAAATTGGATAAACCTAACGCCTACGTTACTAAAAAATCTAAAAACCAGCCAAAATCTCCAAGCCCGAACCAAGCCTAGGTGCAAAGTCTATTTTCCACGGATCGAATGATTGAAATTTCTTCTTGTTCCTAAATATAGTTGTTGCGCTGTATACCCCGGAAACCCTAGTGCAATGGGCGACACCCTTGTCCGGCCTTGTCCGGTAATTGTTGGCTACCTCTACCAGCATGGTACCACTACAACCGACCCCGACCCCTAAAATGTCCTGTATTCCTTGTTCACTGAAACTCCGAGGGTGTATGTCCTAGAGCTTGTTCCAGGTCCAGTTGTGCAATATCCCAAGGTTTCTATGCAACTCATGTAGGGCTTGCAGAGAATCGGCGCGGACCTGAAACAGTAGGATCCTGCGCCAAGCAGAAAGGAAGGCTAAGATTCAAGAACCAAAGAACCCAACTCCGTGCAAAGACTACATGAAAACTCTACAGAACCCTGTTAAGCATATAGAAGCCACACCACAAACCCTAAACTCTGAACCTTATGCGATGTTTGGGCTTCAGTTCGCCTTCCGGCAGAGCCCAGGAAGTGTCCCACTTTTCCAGAGGC